AAAGACTTTTGATTTTCTCGTGCCGGGGGCTGCACAAGGGTCAATTCAAAGGTTAACCGACTGGCCAAATCCCCGGAAGTCGGCATGGGTTTATGGTTAGGACTTACGAATGGTATCTTATTCATCTTCCGATCCCCCTTAACTTTCGTCCTTGAATAAATGAAAAACATCCCTTGGTAAATGCGTTCGCCTAAGCTCATCTTTCAGCGGATCCAAGAAATTTCACCTCTGACGCTGAAATATGAATACCCCCAACTGTCCCCTATTAATCATTACCCTGGTGTGCAAAACAACAAAATAGACCACCAAGGCCGTATCTTATTATTCCATGCTAATGTATTCAAATGAGCAAACGCCTGCTTTAAACACTCTAATTTTTTCACAGTAAACGATGCAAGCCCACCAACCCACCAACTTAATGGCAGAAAGGCAGCCTCACAAAAAATGCCTCGAATATCCATAAGTACACACTCCCAGAGGGAGCGGACCGGACATCCAAAACAGAAATCCAACTACGAGCTTTTTAACTGCAACAACTTTAATATACGCTATTGGAGCTGGAATTACCGCGGCTGCTGGCACCAGACTTGCCCTCCAATTGATCCTCGTTAAGGGATTTAAATTGTTCTCATTCCAATTGCCCGACTCGAAGAGCCAGAGCATTGTTATTTATTGTCACTACCTCCCTGTGTCAGGATTGGGTAATTTACGCGCCTGCTGCCTTCCTTGGATGTGGTAGCCGTTTCTAAGGCTCCCTCTCCGGAATCAAACCCTAATTCCCCGTTACCCGTTAATGCCATGGTAGGCCCATATCCTACCATCCAAAGCTGATAGGGCAGAAACTCAATCGATTTATCGCGCAAAAGCGCGATCCGCACAGTTATTATGACTCAACACAATACCAGCCCGAAGACTGCATTGGTTTCAATCTAATAAATGCTACCCGCCCGACAAGCAGTTGGGTATTGATGCATGTATTAGCTCTAGAATTACTACGGGTATCCAAGTAGTAAGGTACTATCGAGTAGACTATAACTGATATAATGAGCCATTCGCAGTTTCACAGTACAAAATTGTTTATACTTAGACATGCATGGCTTAATCTTTGAGACAAGCGTATGACTACTGGCAGGATCAACCAGGTTTATATCCTCCATACTAAAGAAGACGACAAGTCGCCCCCAGCACAAAACAACAACACAGAGGCCAGCCGCAAACAGCCCCGCAACCGCCGAAACAGTCGCTAGGCCACTCGCAGCTTTTCTCAAAGCCGCCATTAATAGCCGAGAATCTTTTTGCACAGAAAGACAAAAATATGATCCTCACTTCAACAGTTCCACCTAAAAATAGGTAGATCAAGAAGCGAATAATAGAGCACGACGCAGCATACTTTGGGTTGTAGTCCCCTCCGCACGCCGCATAACTAGCACCAGATCAAAAACGGTTCTACCCGAAATTGAAACTTTCCACCGGAAAAATCCAGCGCAAAACGCACCACAGAAGGTATCGCATAATGACACACAATCCGAAAACTGCACGAAACACTATACAACCAACCGCAGCACACCTTCGCACCGGCACCGACAGAGCGTTGATGTAGCACCTCGCAACGTCAGCAAACGCTTCCTCGCATCCAAGCACACACAGTCAGGTCACTATCCCGAAAGCACACACTCGTCAGCAATTCCACATCGCTTCAGCGCAAAATACCCAGAGCAACGCATAAAATGCGTCAAATAAAGCTATATTCTTATGCAGAGCATACGAGTACAACCTCAATTTCTGCACGCACGAAATAACCGCTCTAAGTTTCCCCAAAGCAATAATAACGCACGATTTTTAAAGGAATGTCTTAAAGACACGTCTTAGAAACAGCAGAACTATTCCTACAAAGACACATCTAAAAAACCATAAATCGCCAGAGTTCACTCAATCTTATCCTAAAATAAGACCGAGAAATCACCCTAAACAGCAAAGTAACGCCTCAAAAACCAACTATAATCTTAGAAACCCACACGCCATTTCCAAAATTACACTCAGTAACCGACTTGTCACCTCACATATACTAGGAAACCGTCACAAGAAAGATACTCGCTTTTGTTTACGTCGTCTTAACAAAAATTCCCGTTAATCTACAGCAGATTGACGGGAATTGATTACTGCTGACAGTTACAGACTACTCGTTTAACATCTATTTATAGCTGGAAAAGTAACCGCCGCGCCAGCAGCTAGTCAGTATCTTTCAGTTTTGTTAGAACTCAGCAGTCACCCATAAAGTAATTTACATAAATTACCCGTTCTAAGTGCGAGAAGTTATTTTACTAAGTGCGAATAGTGCCTAAGTTCGTATTTTATGGACTAAGTGCGGTATTTTATCATTAAGTTCGCGTTAGAGGACCCCCCAAAATGAACATTTTCTTGCGTCTTGGGAAGAGTATTGTAGAGTGCCCCGTAAAAACTTTTGTGGGTGTAAAGTATGATACTAAAAACACACTAACTGCCCTAAGGATTCACGTCGATTTCATTCTAGGAGTCGAGATATGTTATTTTAAGTTTTTGGGATGTCATGGATGCAAATCGTTTGCTACAGGCTCAAGAACGCACTTTTTGTATACCATGTTATTTTAAGAAAATGTCCGTTTCGATGCGCTCTTCAAAAATGTTCGACTTGCGAACCATGATTTTCTGCGTCTGTGCCACGTAATTCAGCAAAAAGAGCATGTAATGGAGTGAAATGAGAGGGTGTGTCATCTCTAAAGTAAAATCTTTAAAAGAGCATAACTTAAAAACGGCTGGGAATAGGT